CTTCTTGGTAGTGGTGCCCACCCTGTGGAATGCTCTCCTATCAGACATCAAGGAGATAAGTAACTATACAACCTTTTACAGATAGGTAGCCGTGTTGGTCTGCCATAGTCAAAATAAAAAAAAATCCTTCCAGTAGCACCTTAAAGACCAACTAAGTTAGTTCTTGGTATGAGCTTTCGTGTGCATGCACACTTCTTCAGAACATACACACGAAAGCTCATACCAAGAACTAACTTAGTTGGTCTTTAAGGTGCTACTGGAAGGATTTTTTTTATTTTATACAACCTTTAGAAGACATCCAAAGACAGCTCTTGGAAGGCTCTTATCATTTTATGCTTTATTATGTTTTTGTATAAGCTGGAAGCCACTAAGTTTGGCTGGGACAAGCCAGTCAGATGGGTGGGGTACAATTATATTATTATTATTATTATTATTATTATTATTATTATTATTATTATTATTATTATTATTACTACTACTACTACTACTACTACTACAAACCCAAGGAGACATTGAAACTCATCATTTATTGAAATAGCCATTCCAGTTACCACCCAAAACTCACAGAGATCTACTGTTCCCAACAGCAAACAGGCGCTCTCATAAGTTGCCATCTTCCACCCAAGGATAAGGTGGAGCTGCACACATCTGCTACCTGGTTCTCAACCTTTGCACCAAGGAGTGCACTAAGACAATTCAACCCACACAAGATGAACCACCCCCCAAAAAAACCCTTTGCAGAGGGCACCCTCAACCCAACCCCTCAGCAGTGCAGCTTTGTAGTTTTCTGGATGGCCATTAGTACCAACCGATGGTTCCCCTCACTTCCTCCTCAGATCTGCCCAACTGGATAACACTCAGGTTAAGCACGGCTATCAGGGAACAAGGAGGACATGTGTTCTTATCTCTCTCTCAAATCCTCCAATTTATCCAGGGTGTTTTCTCCACATTCTCAGGGGTCATCTGAAGCTCTTGATCAATCAGCGGTTAACATAGGCTATCTGCTTTCTCTTTGAGAAACAGGTGGTGAGGGTGATTCTAACCATCTTCCATGCAAACTAGGAGAAGAATCTAGGACAGTAGCATTAGTCTATTCTATGGGTACCCAAGGATGAAACCTGAAACCGAAATGACGTTCATTCTCAGGGGTATGTAGATTCAAAAGCATGCAGATATTTACCCGGTATGGTTTGGTTATTGCAGTAATCACCCTGACAGCAGTGCATTCTACGGCGGAAATATTTATCTTTTAGTGTAGTAAAGCTGTAATCCCCTGGGGTACAATCTGAAGTGCATCCCCACATTTCTGTTTCAAATATCATATCACCTGTGAGATAGACAAAGAAAGAAAAGTGAGTGACAACATCTTTACCCAAAAGAAAAGTCCCTAACTTGCTGATAACATAATAAATGATGTCAGGAGGGAGCTGTAGCCCAAGAAAGGAAAAGAGGTGGTAAGGGAACACCCAGCTATTTTAAGTCAATTCCAATCTCCACCGCCCGATGAGCTGCACCCAATGATACTAAAAGTGTTTGTAGATGTAATAAAAATACAATTAAGAATCATCTAGCATATTACACTCTTTGCTTAAAACAGGCAAGTGATTCATGGGGGGAAAGGATGGGGCCCTGTGGCTATGGACTCTCTAGTCCAATTTTCAAACTATGGCATGACAGAGTTAATTCATTCAAATCAAGATGCCCCAGAAACTTTACATTCCTGTTTTATGGTTACACTACAATATTATTTGTTGTTACAGCATTGTTACAATATTTATTGCTGAGATACAGAAAAGAGAGTTGGTTTATCCTTTCTCAATATTGTTCCTACTTCCTGAAGAGCCCCAGCAGGTTGTATTATTTCCTGTTCTTTCCTTTTCCCTCTACTCTTTTCATTCCCTTGATCTCGCCTCAATCTGGCTCTCATAAAATGAAAAATGTTTTGCAAGTAAGCCTTTGTGGGGAGATAGACAGACAGATAAATGATAGATAAATGTTTGTTATTTTAAAAATAGATCTCTTGTGGCTTCATTTGATGTTAGAGTGTATCTGTCAGAGTTTGAGGATGTGAGCTGTCACCATATTGCTGGACTTCTTGACGAGAGCACACTCTATGGTCATTTTGTATTCATACATGCACATCATCCCCTGATAATCCAGGGCCCACACATTCAGCTTTGATTGGACTAAAAGGCTTTACACTCACCTAAATTATATCTAGTAAAATTTGAAAAGCAGCTATCCTGTCCATTATGACAGACCTCTGTCAGTTGCATTGCACCGGAAATGTAAATGTTACATTCATTTGATACATCTGGAAGGAAAGAGTAGGAAACACTCAGTGCCATGAGTTTCTCATTCCTTGAGAAATGACATCTACGTACATTCATAGAGAGAAATCTGACCTTGATCTCAGCTCTTGGATTCAAACCACTATTACCAGACATGAGGAATTTTACTTATCTCAAGATCCACTTCCAATGGTGGGTCGGAGGCTGCATGTGTACACACACACACACACACACACACACACACACTCACCATCTCTACCAACAGCCCAACAAATAGCTGTTGGCTGGACGGGGAGGGCCTGGAGGTTATGGGAAGAAAGGTGCGCCAGGAGAAGAAAGGTGCACCCATCCATCTCTTTTCTCTTCCAAAAACCTGTTTCAGTCTTCCCATTCTGACCCCTGCTAACACCCACCCAGATATGATTAAGGGAAATATTCCTACTCACCAGAAGAAACTAGAACGAAGAGAAAGCACATACTCAGGAAAGCCTTCATAATGTCAGCGCAATCAAAAGGAGCACTCAGAACAAACCACCAGGTGAGCTGTGGAAGATGAAGCTGACTTGGGGGAAATTATAGGCGAAGGAAAGGGGCCTGAGAGTTCCAGCTGGGAAGGAGTGGTGGGATATTATGGAAACAGAGAGTGCATGCTGTCCCCGAAATCCTGTTTTTTAAAAATGGAACACAAAGCTCCTTTTTGATTGTGGATGCAATCATTTTTAGGACTTCTGTGGCAGACAGCCAGATGCCTCTTCCAGTCCAACCGCACCTTCATTGTTAGTCAACTGGAACTTTAAAGAAGTGAATTCTTTCCAGTCTTTATCCAGCTCTGTTTTATCACAAGGCCTGTGGAGGAAACATATTCCCAACAAGGCACAAAGTAATCAACAATCACACACACACACATCTCTTTATCTTCCCAGCAATCAGGTGAACCTGGAACCTGCTTGTATCCATGGAACCACTCCTTTGCATTGTGAGTTTTGTAGCTTCTCAGTATCTTTTTAAACGTAGTCATGATGGCTACCTTCCCTCCAGTATGAGAGGCAGTAAGCCTCTTACTACCAGTTGCTGCAGATCACATGTTGAGAATGTGATGCCCAAAGGGATGCGAACACAGCACCACTGCTTCCTGGGCCTATGGATCAATTTGAAAGTGAGGAGACCCAGAGATTTGTGTGTGTCAGACACTTCCTCTCCTAACAGGGGTGGCTGCTTGAGGCTCAGAAGAGAGAGAAAATAAAATTTTCAGATCTCTGTGGCAGGGCTGATAGGGCCGATCTTACTCAGGGCTTGCTCTACAACAATGGCTCCAGCCTCGGATGAAGTTTTTTTGGGGGGGGGGTGTCCAGGGATAATCATACACTCTAAAGAATAGCCCCCAGAGGAAGACAAACGCCAGAGAACCATGTGGAAGAGCAACTGAAAAGAGGTTGAACAACACAACCTGAAGCTGCACAAGAGAAACACCCTACACAATAGGAATGAGCCAGTTTTCTGATTTGACTGACAAAGTGTTTAAGCGGGAAATGCTTAAGTTCAGCCCTAAGTGGGGCCATCACTTAATATTGTTCCTCCAGGGGGTTGTCTCCTGCAATGGGCAATATTCCACCTCTGTAGGGGCACCCAAATTCCACATCTAGCCCTGTAGGGACCTTCAAAATGGAGATGCTGCAATGGGCTTCATGTGGTTGCATCTTTCGATGAACTGATTGGACAATTGTGAGTCATGCAGCTGGGGAGTGTATGTTTGTGTGTTTGTTTGAATTGAACAGTGTTTAGTTTGTTAATGTTTGTTAATATTGTTTTGTGGATTATGAGTGCTGTAGTGTTTTGTGAATCTTATAATATGACCTTTGTTCTGGTTGTGCTGTTTCATGGTTTTTTTTAGTTGTTTTGTTAATAGTGTTTTAGAGAAGATTATTGCTTTTGTTATGTTTTCTAATTGTTTTACTGATCATTGTCAATTATTTTAACTGATTAATGCTCTAATTGTGATGTTCTGATAGGTTAATGTTCTTTATTGTTTGTTTGTAAGTCTCTGTGTGACTCATGTGAGTGAAAAGCAGCATAGAAATAGAATAAATGAAATGAAATGAAATGTAGTTCAAAGCGTGGCTAGGCAGCCCTCAAGTTGCTGCATCTTCTCTTCCAGCACAGCAACCCTTTTGCACTTGCACTTTGGCTGATGCAATAGGATGCTATTTGCGTGTTCAGACCCAGAAACCTCCCCCCTAAATAAATCCACACTTGACTCAAATTTTGGTTTTGGTTTTTGGCAGAATTTAGGCCATGGCGGTCAGCCACAAATCATTCCCAATCACAGACAGATGAACCCCATCAAGCCTGCAAATGGACGCATCACAAGAGGTAATGCCCAGGTGATGGATTACCATCCCTCCCAAGGCCAGAACCTTCTTGGCCACTGTGCTCTGCACGCGTCTCCGGGCCCTCTTGTTGCAGCTGGGCATGGGCTTCCTTGCCACGCATGTTGCTGCAACAGCTGCGACCAAAAAATATTGAGTCCAGGAAGAGCTGCCTTAACTCTTCCAAGTCCTCCTGCATATGGGTCCGCAGGCTCAAGATGGGAGCTTCCTGCAAATCGTTCTCACCCAGCTGCACCACCATCGCCACAGGCATGCCTTCCCCAGACACCTTCACCCACACCATTGGGAGAAGCTCCTCCCAATGCATTCCTCATCTGAATATTCAGGAAACGTACACATGGTTGGGAATCCTGAGCCTGTGTCCAAATCCAGACTCCACAACCCTCTTGCTGTCCCAGTGGACAATGCTGTGCCTGACTATCCTGACATGCGGTGTAGGCGGACCTAGGAATGAACAAAACAACATTAGCAACTGCACCTCAACGCCTCTTCCGAACATAACCTCGGTATGCTCCAGATCTCCAGTGGCCCAGATCCTTAATCCTGTCAACTGACATGCCCCAATGCGCAGCGGTGGTGGTTGCCCCAATACGGAAGGAATGAGGTGCAAACTCGCTGGCCAACAGGCCACATGCTGCCAGCGCCTTGCGCATTACCGCAGCAAATTGATGCTTCCTTAATCGGGACCCACCCTCCTGAACCAGGAAGGGACCATCCCCAGGCGGGCGAAGGGACAAACATTTATTGGCATCCTTAACTGGACAAGGTCCAGGCTCACCGGTGGCAGGCAGCCTCATCAAGGCACCTCTGCCCTACTAGTCCATTTTGGAATTGCGAATGGTAAGGACCAACTCAGCATCGGACAGCTGAACATCCTGCAAAAGCAATCCCCTGGGAGTCCTTCCCTGCACCACCACTTTGCCCACCCGCAGTGCACTGAAATAGTCAATTGAAAATGCTGCCGTAAAGAGTCTCGCCTCAAAATTAGACCAACAGATTGATCTCAGGGTGCTGCACATAGTGCACAGAATGTCAAATGTGACCTGGTGACTTAGGTGGCTGTAATCTGGCCCAGCCTTCAAGAGCCTTGCACACCACAAATTTTGCACAAGGGTCTCTAGAATAAGGGGACGTACAGAAAAAGGAAATGGCAGAAGACTGAATTCAGATGGACTTTACTGTGCAACCCATAAAACGCAGGTGAGCCAAATACTGCAACACTTGATGTGTGGATGGTGACTCTGTGCTGAGGCTGGTCATGAGCTGCACTCTAAAAGCTAAAAAGTGCATCCAGGCCTTCTTATAAGACCTCAAAGTGGAAGGAGAAACAGGTGCTATTACTCCTTGCGGGACTATCTGTTGCCAAGGTTCCAAACTGCTCCAGGAAATATCCCAGAAGCTGCTGGCCCTCCAGAGCCAGGGATCTGAAGAGCTCCATCTGAAAACGGGATAAGGCATCCGCAATGTCATTATTAGCTGCAGGAATAAAATGGGCAGAAAATACAATATTAAACCTGAGGCACCACAACACAAACGTGCATAAGAGGGCAGAGACTCTGCTGGAGCAGGATGACTGCTTTGCCAAAACGCTCACCACGGCTTTGTTATCGGACCAGAAACAGACCCACCGGTCCTTGAACTCTGTGGTCCAGATGTGTACTGCCACTACGATGGGGGAAAACTCAAGAAAGTTTAAATCACGGGTAATGGCTGTACCCTGCCAGTGCTCAGGCCACCTCTGAGTGCACCAATGGCCATGGAAATAGAGCCCAAACCCAAGGAACCAGAAGCATCTGAATGGACCTGGAAATTGAATTGCAGATTCAAGGTATTCTGCCACATGGGTATGCCACTGAACTCCTTAAGGAATTCAAGCCACATCCCTAGGTCTGCCCTGACCTTGCTGGGCAACCAGACACAGTGATGGGGTAAGCGCAGGCCAGCTGAAAGTCTGGCTAAGCGTGCACAAAAGGGGCGACCAGGCGCTACCACCCTGCACGCAAAATTCAAATGGCCCAAAAGGGACTGAATCTGCCTCAAGGTAACCTTTTCCCATGGCAAAAAGTCCATAATGACATCACGCAAAGCCATCAACTTTACTTCAGGTAGAGTGGAAGATGATAAATCTCTCTCTCAGCTCGCAGAGGACACGCTGTTCGTGTTCTGAAAGCACGCGCTGAAAGAGGAAGCTCTGGGTCACGTACATGGGCATAAATAGGTCCCTCAAACCGTTTGGACTGCGTCCCATTGGCCAGATTGCACCCAGCTTTGAGGGACCTACCAATCGGGTATTGTGGCTGACCAATAGTACCCACCCACAACACAGGGTGACGGTTGTCCAGGTCTCACCTCAGTACGTGCCCTCTTTAAGGGAGGACCCAATATGTCACAATCAGGAGTTTGAAATACAGTGAGGTTTGAAATATAGTAAAGGAGGACCCGATATGTCACAATCAGGAGTTTGAAATACAGTGAGGTACACTGTTGTGAAATGAAATTATGTACTCAGTGCCTACTGGGTCATTTATATATGAGCATCTTTGTATCTCTGAAACATGAGCCAACTGGCAAATTTATTGTTGTTTTTGTGTTCAGTACCTCAAAATTGGTAAAAAAAAAAAATTGCTCTTTTCATTTCAGAGGCATTTTGTGTGTTGTGCAATATAACATCAGGAATAACTTTTTTACAGCGCTGTCAGGAGTCACTCGGGAAGTTGTGGACTCTCCTTCCTTGGTGGTTATTAAGCAGAGTTTGGACAGCCACCTTTCACAGGTGACTTAGCAGAGATTCCTGAATTGCAGAGGGGTTGAATTAGATGGCCATCGGGTCCCTACCAACTCTATGATTCTATGAATCAAGATGGTGGAGTGAACCTTTCAAAACTGCATTGATTTTAATCAAATAAGGATGTGCAAAATAAATAAGTGTAGTGTAGTGTAGTGTAGTGTAGTGTAGTGTAGTGTAGTGTAGTGTAGTGTAGTGTGCAAAGTGCATGACTACAGCATGGTCTGTGGACATCCCTACTGTCAATGACTTCTGGTCATGATGGCTTCATTTCCTACATTACGACTACTCTGCTCATGCCTTGTTTTCTGTACTTTCCAACAGACATTTGATTAGGAGTTCTGACAACACAATGCTGGACTAAATGGGCTTTTGGTCAGATCCAATATTCCTGATTCCTGACTCCCACAGTGGGTCCCCAGAGTTCTGTCAAACAATAATAAGTTATTATCGCAATCGATGTGTTGGACATGTCTGCAATATGTCATTTGTCTGTATTTCTCACATACTCAGAAAACCACACAGTTCAAATTGGAACTAACTTTTTATTGGCAAAAACATGATCTTCACAGACTTCACTGTGTGTCAGACCAGTGAGCACAGCAACTCATTCCCTTTGGGTCATACTCCATGAAATCAGTTGCTGAGAGTGAAGATACCTGACTCCCCACACCTGTCTATGTCTCCTACGTTCCAGGGTTTCCCCCCCCCCAAGCAATCAGAGACTTCCATCCTTTTGATCCCTTTTCTGGTTCTTGTGGGGAGGGGGAAGAGGAACTTGTCACAACAGGAGGGGGAGACACCCATGACTTTCAACAGCCAGGCACATCTTGCCCTTTGACCTCCCTCCTCCCACTTGCCAGCTTCAGCTTCTGATTCTAGACTTCTTTCTGCCATAGAATCTCCCAGCTGACTAAGAAGCTACCTCCTCTTCCCAGTCTTCTCCCTCTGACTTATGTGGGAATGCAGGGGCTGCATTTGACACCAAGGACACAGGTTATTCACCCCTGGTACAGTTTACAAAAGGGCACCATAGTCTCTCATTTTTTCTCTCTCTCTTTTAGCTTCGCTTACTCCGCCTAATGAGCAGCTAGGTTATTTTAGACAAAATTATGAAACCACATTTTTTCAGCAAGTACATTATGAATGCATTCTTCTTCAGCAGGTACACTGGATGAGTAAGACTCTGAGGCAATTAAAATTTGGCTGATGTTAGATTCCCCACGAGCTTCAGTTGGCCTGAGCTTACATCAACCTGCTGAACCAGGTCAGCTGTTCCAGAACCCCGTTGTCACAATGGCCAACCAGATGCCTGTGCAAAGCCTGAAAGCAGGACTTGACAGCAACACCACTCTCCCCACTTGTGATTCCCAGCAACAAACATTCAGACAGTAGCATAGCATAGGCAGCTGTGGCCCGGAGTGCAAATTTCTGAGGGAGTGCAACAAAGGCATCCCCACAGCAGGTTATTGAGGTCACAGGTGCAGGGAAGCAAGCCACATCTGGGCTGGACCTTCAGGGCTGGGGCAGTGGTGTCACCTTCTTCTCCTTGTGACCAGTGAAGGGATGCCTGCACGTGCCCCACCTCTGGGCTGGTTGAGACGGAGGTAGTGGGAGGAAGAGGAAGATTGGACAGCACTGCTAGAACCACGTGGATTGCCCAGAGTGCCTAACTGCAAGGACAGGAGGGCAAGGGAGCACAGCGGCACTCAGGGCTTCACGTTTCTCTGCCTTATCTCTGCTCCCTGGTGACTCCCCTGATTAGATGCAGACCAGCAAAGTGACTGACTCCTGCCCAGTCCACCGGGGGGGGGGAGTGCAACAACTGTCATGTTCTGGGCACCAGTAACCCATGCTACACCCCTGCATTCAGAGGACTACTGCCTCCAACAGTTGTGATACAGCATGACCATCTGGGTCAGTAGCCACTAATAACCTTATCCTCCATGATTTTTTCGATAATCCTCAAGCAAACAAATCCAAGTTGGTGGTGATCTTTACTTCCCATAAGAGCAAATATCAGAGTTTAACTACATGTTATTTGAATCAGTGCTTTCTTCCATCTGTCTAGAATCTTCCAATATACAGTTTCATTGACGGCCTGCAAATTCTAGTGTTATGAGAGGAATAATAACCTTCCTCCATCCATTTATTCCACACCATTCATAATTTTGTGCACCTCTTCGTGCTTCTTACTTGCTTTTTTGTTTGAAGTGAAAAGTCCCAAATTTTGTAACCTTTCCTCATTAGGGCTTGCTCTTGATCTTTGGCTTTTCCTTTTTTAAAGCTTTTACAACTACACAATATCCTTTAAAGTGAGAAGACTGTACACAATATTCCTAATATTTCTATAATGGCATCATGATATTGGAAGATTTATTCAAAGGTAGCTGAGATATCGACAAATAAGAATAAGGATTCACACCAATGCAGTCATGAAAGTTTCTTTCCCTTTCTCATAATACTAGAACCAGGGGCGTAGGAGCGGGGGTGGGATGGCATGTCGCCCCATGCTCTATCAAGGTGACAAATTATCAAGGAACAATTACTGCCCTACTAGGGCGGTTCATTAAAAACTTTTTTGTTGTTGTTGTAAATGCCTGCTCCAAATGTCTTACCTTACTACACTAGGGATTATATAGCTATTTCTGAAACTTCATGCATTTCAGTTAATATCTTGACCCTCATCCATGAAAATAGCTCTTTACTTGGCCATTTTCCTATATTGTGAAGGCTGAAATTTCAATTCATTGGAGCAGGGTCAAGATATTAACTGATATGCATGGAATTTCAGATATAGCTATATAATCCCTACAGTAGTAAGATAAGACCTTTGGGGCAGGCATTTTATTTTTTAAAAAAAGTTTTTATGAACCTCCCTACTGCCCTACCCTCCACTGGGCTTCCCAGCTCCTGGAAAGTCAGCCTATGTGAAGAAAATAGGACTAGGCTGAGTAGATTAGGCCTTGTCTTGCCTTTGCCCCGCCCCCTGCCTGCAGCCGATTGGCCAGCTGGGTTGGGGGCACGGCAAAGGCAAGGCAAGGCCAAATCTACAGTGGTGCCTCGCAAGACGAAATTAATTCGTTCCGCGAGTTTTTTCGTCTAGCGAATTTTTCATCTTGCGAAGCACGAAATCCCATAGGAATGCATTGAAATTCAATTAATGCGTTCCTATGGTCAAAAAAAGTCCAAACAAAGCCAAATTTGGTACAACAAGAGTTTATTAAGTGCTCTTTAAAGTCACACATACTATAAAGAGCATTTCAAAAATTGAAGAAACAATAAATTAAGTTTCTAAACATGACAGAAAAACATTTAAAAATCAACAAAGTGTACAGTACATTTTCTAAGACTTTGGGGGACAACTCAAAGAAGGTTCCTCTTCCACTCTTTGCTTCTTGCTGAAGAACCTGCCCATGGTCTGCTGCTTCATCCGCCTTTTCAGCACCTCCCTGAAAGGCAACATGACCCTTGTATCAAAAGTGTTCACAAGGTCATGTGCCACGTGCTTGCCAGGGTGGTGCTGCTGTGCAAAAGCCTGCACATCCTTCCACTTCAGGCAAATGTCCCTCAGTTCTTTGGAGGACAGCCGTTCCTCAGTTGCTTCCTCCTCTTCCAGCGAGGCCTGCTCCTGCGCAGCCTCTGCCTGCAGTTCAACCAGCTCCTGGGTGGTCAGCTCATGGTCGTGCTCCTCCACCAGCTCGCTGACGTTCTCCTCTGTGACCTCCAGGCCCATGGTCCTCCCCAAGGCAACAATGTCCTGCACCACTGTTGACTCTGGTGCATCAGAGTCACTTGGTGCCACACAGTCCGGCCACAGGCTGCGCCAAGCGCAATTCAAATTTCTCTGGCTGATCCCGTTCCAGGCCGATGGATCAGCAGGTGATCATCTTCAAGCAGGTGACGATGTTGAAGTGGTCCTTCCAGAATTCCCGCAGGGTGATGGTGGTGCAATCAGTCACCTCGAAGCATCGCCTGAAAAGCTCCTTGGTGTAGAGTTTTTTGAAATTGGCGATGACCTGCTGATCCATCGGCTGGAGCAGTGGTGTGGTGTTAGGAGGCAGGAACATGATGCTGATGAAGCTGAACTCCTCCAACAAGTCCTCCTCAAGGCCTTTAGGATGAGCAGGAGCATTGTCCATCAGAAGCAAAGCCTTCAGCGGCAGGTCGTTGTCCAGCAGGTACTGTTTGACAGCAGGGCCAAAAGCAAGATTGACCCAGTCCACAAACAGCACATGTGTGACCCAAGCCTTACTGTTGGATCGCCACATGACACTCAGCTGCTCCTTGTCGACCTTGTGTTTCTTGAAGGCCCGTGGGTTCTCCGAGTGGTACACCAGTAGGGGCTTGATCTTCAGGTCGCCGCTTGCGTTGGCACAGAAGAGCAGCGTCAGACGGTCCTTCATGGGCTTGTGGCCAGGCAACTTGGCCTCCTCCTGTGTGATGAAAGTCCTTTTGGGCATCCTCTTCCAAAGCAGCCCGGTCTCGTCGCAGTTGAAGACCTGCTGTGGAACGTAGCCCTCCGTCTTCACAACCTCCAGGAACTCTGCTGCAAAGTCTTCAGCCGCAGAAACATCAGAACTGGCAGCCTCTCCATGCCTGACCACGCTGTGGATTCCAGATCTTGTCTTGAACCGGTCAAACCAGCCTCTGCTTGCCTTGAAGACTTCTGGCTCGCCTGAGGTTCCTGGCTGTTCCCGGACGAGGTCTGCATGCAAGGCCTTGGCCTTCTCACAAATGATGGCCTCAGTCACTTTGTCCCCTGCACGCTGTTTCTCTTCTAACCAGATGAGCAGCAACTTCTCCACCTCCTCCAGAACAGCTGGGCGGTTCTTCACGATCCTGGTGACTCCCTTGGCTGCATCAGTCACAAGGATCTTCTCCCTCATCTTCAGGATGGTCCCGATGGTCGATGGATTCCTCCCGTACTCCTTGGAGAGGTCTGTCACACGCATTCCACCGTCGTGCTTCCGGATGATCTCCTTCTTCATTTCCAGTGTAATCTTCCCCTCCTTCCCCTCACCGGCCTCTGCAGCAGCAGTCTTCTTGGGTCCCTTGGCAGCACAGCTCCTACCTTCACAACCCCCCCCCAAAAAAAATATCAGTGCTTCACATCCAAAAAATTCAAAAGCACCCAGCCACCCATCACACAGAAATTCAAACCCAGAACCAAGTCCTTGAATTCCAAACACCCCAACCCAAAATCCAAAAACCCCCCAAAAAGTTGTAAAAGTTCAACTTACCAAATGGCTGCAAAAGAAGTTTTGGAAAAGCTTCAAAAATCACCAAAGTCTTCAAAAACCTCAAAAAAAGGCTACCACACCGCGTGCTATGAGTTGCTCCTCAAAGTCAAGTCGCAACTGCACCTCTTCAAGCAATGCACCCTGGGTATTAACTATTTTAAGAAAAAGGAAACAAACTTGCAAGACGTTTTCGTCTTGCGAAGCAAGCCCATAGGGAAATTCGTCTTGCGAAGCAGCTCAAAAAATTCAAAACCCTTTCGTCTAGCGAGTTTTTCGTCTTGCGAGGCATTCGTCTGGCGGGGCACCACTGTATTCGGCCTACTCTCATTTTCTTCACATAGCCTGACTTTCCAGGCTGCTGGGGAAGCCTGCCAAGGCCGCTGCCTGTCCTGCACACCCCCTTCAGGCCCCAATCCCCCTTCGAAAAGCCTCTGCTGCCTCCAAAAGTGGAGCGCGTGAGACAATGGCAGCGCTGCCACCCCGTTTTCCCCACATGTGACGCCGGGAGAAGCAGCTTAGCACTGCCCTAGGCGCTTGGCAGGCCGGCCTCCCCTTTGCCCCCAGTCTCCCCTGCATGAAGCTAGGACCCCCCAAAAGCAGTTGTGTAATTAAAAGAAGATGAGAAAAATCAGCAAAGCAATTCTGTGGCTAACAGACCAGTTCCTTTAAATAGGGTCTATTAATGAAGTTCACACTTTTGACAACCAGTCTGATTCTTTTGCAGACAAATATTCCTAGACACAAGACTTTTATTTTTTATTTTTTAAGCCGTTTCAGTCTCCCATCTCGAGGCTAAGTTCAGCAAGCTGTACATTCCCACCCCTCTCCCCAAGACTGGATTATTTACTTCTGTGTGCTTGTGTATCTGTGTCTCCTTTGTATCTATTAGGGACTAATTTCTTGCCTTTCCATTGATATCTATGTTACTGATTACTTCTGCCATTTTAATTTTAGAGAAAGTGTTTAATTTAAAAAGGATCTGTACTATAGAATAACAGTGGTAACAATACATTGAAGACAAGTAAATATTTTGGGGAGGGTGATCCCAGAGCCCTAGCGCTACCGTCCCAAAGAGGATAAAATGGGCTGACTTTGGTACTCTTTTCTCCTCCCCTCCCCCAATGTAATTCTCTCTATCTGAGCTGGCTCCCTGCCTGTTACATTAGATGCGGGGAAACCCGTGTGGGGTTCCTCTCTATGTAATGTCTTCAAGCTGTTCCTGTGCACGCCTGACAAATCTGCTCCATTGTCAAAATTTATCTTTTCCTCCACCTCCAGTCTCCGTTGTTGTGTGTCCTGGCTGAGGGGGGAAACAGAAGACGGATGGCCATCGGTCAGGGATGGTCTAGTTGAGATTCCTGCATTGCCCCAGGGGTTGGGCCAGATGACCCTCAGGGGTCCCTTCCAACTCTACAATTCTGCAGGCTTGTGCAGACTTTTAGGTACAAGTTTAATGCAAGGGGTGCATAGGATTGCAGCCCATCTTATGCACCGTCGGCTCAGGAAATGCCCATTCCGAACTTCAGGAGGAGGGGGGGTTGCGGGTTCACGACCCCGCCCACACTCACTCCCGCGAGGCTGGCAGGAAACAGGGAATTCCCTTAATTTGCATCCCCCGCAGCGCCAGCCAATCGGCTGGCGGCAGGGGCGGGCCTCCCAGAGGCCACTTAAGGTCAGGGCAGCCCTCGGCTCGCCCCTTTTCTCCCTAGCAGCTGACGCGGTTTGGATCGGATCCCTCTCTTCGCGCCGCTGTTTTCCTTTTCGCCCTCACCTCTTCTGCGTGTGGCTGGCTGAACGGATCATCCGCGGTTGGGCCTCAGCCAGCTAATTCTCTTGCGACTTTCTGCGGGCCCGCGAGTCGCCCGTTTCATCGGCCCCACGAGTGTGTGCGGCCGCACCGCCTACGGAGCTACGAGCAGCGCTACTTGGCTTCTTCCACTTGCCGGGATTTACTAGGCGAGCCTCGCAGCGCCCCACCAAAGCTTCACCGAGGGATCTTCGACCGTGAGCCGCTGCAGCACTCACGGGAGGTTTTTTACAAAGCGGAGCCGGGGGGAGCAACGCGGGGAGCTTTGGGGGAGGAGCGGGCGCTGAGCGGTAGGCGCCGGTGTGGTCGTTACGTTCCTTGGTCCCTTTTTTAATCCCTTCTACGTGGCATTGTAATCGTCACTCCTTTGCCTTATTCTAGACTTGGGGCTTCCTCAGCGGCATTTCCCACAGCGGTCTGTTTTAAAAATCTTATTTCCGGCATCCTGGTTGCCCGGGCAACGACCCAGCTGCCAGCCATTTTGCGTGCACCACGTGGCTTTGGTAGCGGCCATTTTGATGGTACCACGTGGTCTCAGCAGCGGCCATCTTAAGTGAGGCAATTCTAGTCTGGGGTCCACAGAATTGCAGCGTATCCCCTGGTTCTTTCCTTCAGGAGTTTCCGTGGCTATGCTGATACTCTGCCTTATTGTCTTCCCTGTTGCAGTTTAATCCCTTCATTTCTTTAGCGATCTTTGCAATTTAAGTAGCCTGGTACTCCTTTCAGCCATTATTCCTAATTAGCCTTGGCGGTTTAATTGACTGTTTATTCCTTTTAGCTTTATTCTTTCATTAGCCTTCGCAGTTTACTTAGTTGGTAATTTTTGTGATTTGGTGATTCATAGATAGTTCGGAATTCATAGCTTTTCATACAGCAATTGGCGGCATCTAGGCCTTATCACTTCCCTCTCTTTAGTTCCTATAAATCAGGGTCTCTTGCGTTGCTGTTTCTTATTGTTCCTAGCTAGTCACTACCTGTTGTGCTAGCTCGCTTCACAAAGTAACTGGAGACTTGCTGTAGTAGGTCTGACCTACAGACATTAAACAGATAGTACGGGATATACAGTAGATTGAATTTGATTGATAATACTTTATCTTTATTTTAATACAATATTAATAATTAGAATTTGAAATTTAAATAAATAAATCAGTACGCTGTTATAATAAACAAGCAAGGGAAAGCGGGTAGATAGATTAGACAATTTTAAAAAATTAAATAAATAGATAAATAATTAAACAAATAAATTATATATATATATATATATACATATATATAGATGCAGGTTTTGGTGTTCTCGGGTGTCTTCCCGTGTAAAAGTTGGGGTGTCTAGGCGACGTTTCGACGAGGTCTCACTCGTCATCTTCAGGCTGGTGCTTTCGGCTTCTTGTTACTGGAACTTGTTCCAGTAACAAGAAGCCGAAAGCACCAGCCTGAAGATGACGAGTGAGACCTCGTCGAAACGTCGCCTAGACACCCCAACTTTTACACGGGAAGACACCCGAGAACACCAAAACCTGCATTCCTGTACCCGTGAAAATCTACGAAAGCAAATATATATAGATATAGATATAGATATATATAATTAAATAAATAAATAAATAAATAAAAAATAACTTGGTAAATAAGGAGAGGGAGCTGTATTTAGCAGCAGTTGACTTGAGGTGCTTTCATACAAATCGCTGGGTGGTTGGCAATCACGCTTAAGCCGATAATATAAATATATATAAACAAATAAGTATAGAAATAAATAAATAAATAAATAAATAATAAATTAAAAAAATAATAATAAATACATAGACAATAAAAATAAATAAATACTTGTTTTGCATAACCCCTCCTGAGTTGCGGCCTTCGGCTTCGACATGGAGAGCAATGGCAATCCCCAACAATCTCAGCGTGGTAACGCCCTGATACCAACAGGCCCATGTAACCCGCAGGCCCTGGCCCAGCTCTTTTCTGCGCTGCAATCATTCTATGCACAGTGCAGGACACCTATCACTCCATCTCCGAACATCGTCGAGGTGTCACAAAATTGCATACCAGACACACACCCCCAGTCAGCAAGGTCAGGATGGTCCCTCCACTAGTTCAGCTAACGTGGTCGAGCAGGCCCCCAGCAGGCTACGGACACGCTTGCAAACTGCTCGAATGCAAAAATCTAAGTCAGGCCCACAAAAAGGCAAGGCGCCCGCTAAAAAACCTAGGGCGAACACGCAAAAGGCCAGGCCGGCGGTGGCCTCTACGTCAGCCACGCGCCAGGAGGTAATTGATGTTCCCAGTGTTTTCCAGGACAATCCAAGGCAACCGAGCACCTCGGAGGAGTCATCGTCTGAGGAGGAGCTGCCCCCTCAGCAGGTGGCCGCAGCCGATGACCCGGCCCCCCGTGAAGTCACGTCACGGGGTGGGAAGCGGAAGGCGAAGAAGAAGCACCGGTCCAAGAAAAGCAAGAAGAGAGACACTTCGGACTCCGAGGATGAAACAGGTACCTCTTCATCAGATGGGGATAGTGACGCTCCTATGGAGACATATTGGGGTGAGGGGGAGGACACAGGAGCACCCCTGTGGATGCACGAAAGGAGGGCCAACTCACACAGGAAGGCATTTAATGGCACGCTTGATTGGAAGGATGGGGCGCTGGTTCCAGACGTGAAAGTCTCAACCAATTCTGCCACTGACTTTATTTTAGGGAACCACCTCTCTAAGAGGAAAAGGAATAAGATATTGAATGGCAATTACGTAGATATGTTTTCCTTGCTGCCCCCTGCGCAGGTTAAAGGGAAAGGGGAGAAAACGAAGTACTATGGGAAAAGGAGGTACAGGGCACCCCGGGTAGAGCATACATTTGAGAATTGGCTTAATGGGTATCAAGTTTTTATGGCAGTAGTGTCGGGTTGCTATCCCAAGCGAGGCATGCACCTCGTGTCCTACCTGGCTCACGTCA